ATGTTACAACTAGTTCAAAGAAGAAGCCCAAGGAGATATATATATATGTATATATACATATATACATATTCATACAAATATATATGCAGTAAGGAACTTTGAAGTGAAATAACAAACAGATGCAAAGGAGGTCTGTTCATAGTGCAATAGACGATTGCATTTTAGCAGATATAATTAATTTTTATTTCTATGGACAAGAGTCATATGCATTTTTACCAGTTTTCTACAACTTTCTGAGTTGTAAAGTAGTCCAAAGACAGTGGAAGGTAGAGATAACCCAGAAGAATTCACTAAATAGAACACTTGCTAAATCTTTTTTATTCCTATTTCAAAGTCTTCAAGGTTTTTTCATTAAATATTTTGTTTACTAAACTAAAATTATTTATGTATACAAACATTTCTGTATTTCCATGGTACTTTCAGTTAGCATCACATAATTTACCACTTGCTTGGACACTCCTAATTCTATTCTTGATTCCTGCACATATCTTGCCTCACACACTATGTTGCAATTTCTCATTTTAAAATTGCCTCCTATTCAATCCATTGGTGAGGAAAGGATTTCTCTACAGTGTTATGGGAATGGCCAAACAAGTAATACTTCACACTGGACAAGTGAGATCAACAGCAGTGTATTAATCACATATACTCACCGGCCACAGGAGAGGGACACCATGCCACACAGGGTCACATGGAGCCTGCTCTCAAGAACAAAGTGAATGACAAGGACTGTGGGAGGCAGGCTTTGTAGTATCAAGAGGATGAGGTGCCCCCCAGCTCCCATGAGAGTATATGTGTGATTTGTTTCAACAATTCCACAACTGGAACCCACTAGTCAGAAATAAGCAGGAAATGCATCTAGACTATTTGATAAGGAGGGTTGTTTGACTAGGGGGACAATACCTACAGGAACAAGAGTGGGGAGGAAAACCGCTTAGACCATTTGAGATCCTACCAATTTTACCAGAGGTCAAGGCAGCACATAATATTGAGACTCAATTTTAGGCCTTGCACCACACTTCCTGAGAGCAGCAACTAAACTTGTTCATTGAATTGATGATTTGTTGAGCTCCTACGATGTGCCAGGTACTGTTATAGGCTCTGGGCATGCAGCAGTGGGAGCAAATGTTAAAAGATCTTTGTCCTACATTCTAGGGAGAGTCAATAAATGAAAGAGAAAAAAATACTTAGTATGATAGATAGTGACAAGTGCAATGAAGAAATTTGAAGCAGGGGATGAAGAAAGAAGTGCAGAATAATGGGAGTGGGGTGCTATGTTGAAATTTTAAATACCGTGCAGGGGAGCCTTTACTAAGATGACATTTGAGGTAGGACCCAAAGAGGTAAGCCATGAAGATATCAGGGGAAACAGCTTGGAGATGGAGAGACTAGCATCATAGCATTCCACAGCAGAAGAATGTTCTCATGTTCAATGAAAGCAAGGGATTCAGTATGGCCAAAATACCCTAAACTAGGGGAAAAGCAGAAAGAAATGAGGTCACATTGAGATACAGGGGTTAGAGCGAAAATTGTCCAGGGCCCCCTAGATTTGATTTTTACTGAAAGATATGGGAACCCAGAAAAGGGATGTGGATAAAATAATGGCCTGTTATTTGACCAATTTTTCTCTTTCAACTCTCAAAGAGCCTAGCCAAGTACTGAGCATATAAAGGCTGCTCAATATATTGTGACTGGCTAATTGTAAAGGGAGCAACACCTTTCTTCACTGCTTTCCACAACTTTTTACCTTAATCACAATTAGATGCAGGTTTATTTCTACCTAAAACTATACTTACTACAGAGATATGGACACTAAGAAAATTTAGTTTATACATAGTCGAGGTGTGAGACAAAACCCATTTCTTTACTGATGAGACATGGGTCTCTCATTAAAATATCACAGGTATAATAGAAACTAGCACACTGACATACAGTGAAGGAGATAGCCCATACAAATTCTAGAATTTTCTACAGACCTCTACCGTAGGACAAGGGACATTTGAAATTTAATATATTAGACACATTTCACCTAGCTGTTATTCTTCATAATTTTTTTAATTTTTAATTTTAATTTGTGTAAGTACATAGTAGGTGTATACATTTATGGGGTACGTGACATGTTCTGAAACAGACATGCAATGTGTAATAATTATCACATCCTTCATAAATTTTATTTACATAGTGGAAATACATTTCAAGCTGTGGAGCATTTATAAATTGATACTGGATAGCATCTTAAAATGTTTCCCTTCTATGAATAAGTTCACATGGAAAAACAGTACCTGTTATAAATTCTGAAATCAGCAACTTGACTCTATATTGTGCTGTTTGACAGACAGGACTCATAATTTAGTACAGTCATGGCTTTCTTGAGTAAATATAGATATATCACTGGCATAATTAGCCAATCTTCATTTTCTCCCACCTTGGTCATAGGTTTGATTTTTTATCATTAGCATTTAGAGAGAGTAGCATGTATGATACAATAAAGAGTTGGATATAGGACGGAAAAATTGGAGGAATCCCTTCACCTGCCGCAGGAATGTGTCATTCTGAACCCTAAAGTTGATTCTATTTGGTTTTAACAAGGTATCATCTCCAAATCCTATCATGTTATATTATGTTAGAAACATTAAGTTACAATGGGAGAGTCCCAGTAAGAGGAAAAAGTTGAAGGTTGTCCGATAAAATTAGGCAAGGGTTCACATGCATGCTTTGTCACCCACTTCACTGCAGACACATCTGAAAATGCACCCCCAACACCCCTAACATTGTCTACCTGGAAAGCACCACTTATTAACAGGACTCAAACATGAACTACTTAATAAAGATCTTTCTTCCTCTGTTCCTCTCTTCCTCCCTCCCAGAACTGACAATGCATTCATTGTACCCTATATATAATTTCCCTACTGATACTATGTACCTATAAGTCTGTTTCTCCTATTGGACTGGAAGCAATTTAAAGATAGTGACCACACTTTTATTATCTTTTTATCCTGAACTCCCAGAACAATGCCTGGCACATGTAGGATTGAAGAAATATTGTTAATTATTTAATTTTATCACACTCACTAGATCCAGCATGATAACATGAGAGAAAGAAAGTCTAGCTCAGCTCCATAATTTGAGAAAGGTCATTCTTTTTTCTTAGAGGCAGCACCATTGCATTACAGAGTCACCACTAGTGGCAGTAGAGTTTGGTGTATAAGAAGAAATGGGCTGGGCACGGTGGTTCTTGCCTGTAATCCCAGCACTTTGGGAGGCTGAGTTGGGCAGATCGCTTGAGGTCAGGAGTTCAAGACCAGCATGACCTACATGGCAAAACCCCGTCACTACTAAAAATACAAAATTTAGCCAGGCGTGGTGGTACGCGCCTATAATCGCAGCTATTCAGGAGGCTGGGGCAGGATAATCACTTGGACCTTGGAGGCAGAGGTTGCAGTGAACTGAGATCACGCCACTGCACTCCAGCCTGGGAGACAGAGTGAGACTCCGTCTCAAAAAAAAAAAAAAAGAAAGAAAGAAATGGGATCACTAGCCTCTAAATAATTCTGTTTCAGCACTATGTTACAAGTTTTTTTTTATTTAATTAAGGTATTTTCATCTTCTCTTCAGCAGTAGCATCACTTAAAAACCCATTACATATAAGAGGTGGTGTCCTTGAAACAGAATCTAAAGATTTCCCAACTCTCTGAGGCTCTAAAGGTTGAGCTAAAATTTGTCTTTAGTACGGAGTCTTGCTTTGTGTGAGAGAAACCATTCTGTAGCGCCTTTTTAAGTCATGCACACGTAATGAATTTACTTAGTCCTTAAGAAAGTTCTGACTGGTGAAACATTCAAATGCCATACTTTTGAATGGAATGTATACATTCTGTGTTCTGGTTTTGTTTTGTTTTTCAAGCAATGGTTGCCTTCTTGGAGGATAGAACAACACTTCTAGGACAATTATAATATCCAATAATGTTTCCTCTTACAGGCCCAGATATAGGAGTTTGGGGCTCTATGTTCTAGGAGGAGAGGACCTAAGAAAGAAACTATGGACCATGTTTGGGCACCACACTCCGGCAGCTGTCAGTGACAAGAAGGAGAGACCAAAGGAGTCCTTTGAAAAATAATATAGACTCTGACAGTGATACGTTAAACTGTTTTTCCCAACTCAGAAACAGAAAGCCAAATACTGCATGTTCTAACTTCTAAGTTGGAGCTAAATACTGTGTACACATGGACATAGAGTGTGGAATGATAGGCATGGGAGACTAGGAAGGGTGGGGAGGGTGAAAGGGGGGTGGGCGATGAGAAATTACTTAATGGATACAATGCACACTATTCTGGTGGTGGATATGCTAAAAGTCCCGAGTTCACCACTACACAATATATTAAGATAACAAAATAACACTTGCACCCCTTAAATTTGTACAAACTTTTAAAAATGGTGTTCCCTTCTGTATTATAAATCTCCCATCATATCTTGCAGGTCTTCATTTACTTTGTCAAACATGATATCTTTGTGTTTGGGAAATAAAGGGATAGTGGCTGCAGTTTAGAAAAGAGTAATGAGATAATTGGTGGGGTGTAGCCTTAGAGTGGTGGTCCCTGGTAGCAAGTGACAAGTGGAAGCCAGAGAAGCTTTATGCAGCATTTAGACACTCACTAGGGATGCCCAGAAATGTTGGGGAACAGCCCTAGAATTCCTACAGTCAGGCATGTTGGGAACTCAGCTGGCTGTTACTATCAAAAGAAAGGGGAGCCTTGGAAACCAGAGAAACGAGAAGCACTTGGGTGACAACAGATGGCTTTATTCAAAAGAAAGGTAAGGTAAGACTGAAATAAGTATACATTACACTATGTCTCTCCTAAGGAGCAACAAAGTTCAAGGGCATGTTCTTGGGTTACCTTTCTGTCTTTACTCCTGAGGACTAAGAGACTCCAGAGACTGGCAGATGCCTCCAGAAAGATGAACATCTAGTCAGAGGAGAAGGCAAATGAGGAGGGAGCACGACATGGCAGCACAGAAGGAGGAACACAGGGAGGAACTGGAGAGGTATGCTCAGTGGTGAAAGAATGCTTCAGGGCTCTCTCAGCGGCTTGGACTAAGAACAGAGGTGATAGTTATTCCAAGGAACAGGTAGCACGGGCACAGGCACTGACCAATCAGGACAGCCGAACCAGCCAATTGGAATGGACAGGGCCAGGCACTGACCAATCAGGACAGCCGAACCAGCCATTCATAATGGACAGGGCCACCAGCAGCCAGTAAGGCTGAAGGTTCACAGGGAGTCCCACAGACACGAAGGGTCTCCAGTCCTCCCTACATGTATATGTCAATCACTCGAATCAGATGGACCACTCACTAGTGAAAAGCACCCTGCCTTCTGAGGGCGGATTTGTGCATCATCATTGGTAAGGAATTTTACCATTTTGGTCAGTATCTTTCCCCCCGTGCCTCTTTTTCCTCCCCCCTTCTCTGCTGGGCTCATTTGTGAGCTATTTTTTCTCTCTTCCTACTTTTCCAGTGTGTTCTGCAGCATGCACTCAGCTCTTTGGAATTCTGTGGGTGGCAAGGGTTTTCTCCTCCATTTCATGTGCTCAGTGATGTGGAAAGAGAAGTATGAACTCTGACACTTTCCTTTTGCGAACATTTTGATGAAAGGACAAGTGATAGTCACAAATTTCAAAACATGTGGCAGGGGAGATGTAGAAGACACCTCATTTGTTACCAGCAGCAACTCCTTTCTCAGATCATCCCAAAATGCTGGCATGTGCCCAACAGCTTAATTTGGAGAGAATCCTATTTTATTCAAGCCTCAGATAGAATAGGCTATGAATGGTTCATTGGATAAATACTCATTCTCTCCCTCCTCTAAGCCCTAGGTCTGTCCCTCTTGCACCCTCGTCATCTTTGCTATTTCTCTTTCATTAAATTCCTTTGAAGTTGTGGATTATTTTTTCTGTCTTTGAACATTCCTTCTGGCTAGTGGATTTCAGAAGTGCAAGTGCTTTAAACTTTTCCCTCCCCTTTTGAATTAATACTGTACTCCACATTTTTTTCTTTCCATTTTTGGGGGACCAACTACTGTGTTGTTTTATATTGCATTTTCATTTCAGAACTGTTTGAAAATGGAACTCATGCCATGCACGTGAATACTTTGCTTCCTCTTAGCTGATTTAATCAGCATGGATACCATTATTCATGCAATTGCATGAATAATTTATCTCACTGTTGTAAAAGTTTAATAAAAGTTTTCTTGTCTTTATCAAATTCCATGTTACTCTTTGTTCATTTTATAGCAGCAACATAATCAGAATATAAAGCAGTTCATATCAAAAAGCAATGAATGACATAGACTTTATTAGAGCTCTTGTGTTATTTTGTATTGCCATTTTACCTATGATTGAATAAGATTTTATATATGAAAAAATAAGATAGATCTATTGATCTCAGCATGACCAGCACTAACCAATCCTTTCCGCTTTTGCATTAGAAAAATTTGGAATCACATTATTACAACTAAGATGCCCAGCCTTACTTGTACTATCCGACAGAACATACGTTTCTTGTTCATGAACATGTGTGTATATATATGTGACTCTTCTACCCACTGTGTAATACTATTTTATGACTAACTCTTAATCCAGAATAATTGGTATTTCTTGCATAAAGGCACCAGGACAAATATTATTTGTTCATAGTTGATCTTTCTGTTACAGCCACAACTTACCACTTTCAATCAGTGAAATTACTCTATAGATTAAAAGTATTTTGATAACATTTACATGTTTTCCTTTAATGTGAGAGCGGCAAACCTTATAAACAAGAACCGTCAACACAATAGATGATTAAGTATCTATAAAGAGCAATACATGATAACTTAAAGTAATGGCACCTCTTCTGTGGAATATTCATTGATCTTTGGAAGAAATAGTAACAATTTTACAAAAGAAAATAAAATTACTAAATCTATTGTGCCTGCTTTCTCTTGCATGCACTCTCTATCTTAAATATAATGCCTTATTTTGGTCTTGCTATAGTCATAGTGTTTTAGGAAATGGTAGAAGTTCTAGAAGAGAGACAGAAAAAAGACTGAACGCATAAATATTTGTGCGCAAGTAAAATATTATATATAATACATACTAATATATAATAAATTAAAGGTTACTAAGTATGAAGCTACATAAAAATATTATTTGCATGTATTTATGAAGAAGGGTGTTTCAGTTGTAATTTTTAAAAAATTTCCTTCAGGGCTGGGCGAGGTGGCTCACACCTGTAATCCAACACTTTGGGAGGCCAAGGCGGGTGGATCACGAGGTCAGGGGATCGAGACCATCCTGGCTAATGTGGAGAAACCCTGTTTCTATCAAAAATACAAAAAATTAGCCAGGTGTGGTGGTGGGCACCTGTAGTCCCAGCCACTCGGGAGGCTGAGGCAGGAGCATGGTATGAACCCAGAAGGCAGAGCTTACAGTGAGCCGAGATCATGCCACTGCACTCCAGCCTGGGCAACAGAGCAAGACTCCATCTCAAAAAAAAAACATTGCTTCAGAACAAATCAAAAGTAATGGATTTTACCTAAATCAAAAGATTTAAGATCTGGAAGAGGCATCAGTCATACTCATATTGTTTAGTTATGGTAATTGCCTAAAATAACTATTTGAATGTTTCCTGAAATTAAAAATTTTTATAATTCAATTTATGTGATTGTGATTAAGTTCCATATCTTTGTTTATTCATACATGATGAATAATACCAATACTCGGCATAGTTTACAAACATCAAAAATAACCCTGAAAAATTAAAGGAAAAAAGAAATGTATTATAAAGATAGGAGAGCTTCTGGTTAGGATGTATAAAGTCGAGAGACCACTGCTCTCACCCTAACAAAGGAAACAAGCCAGAGAAGTTATAAAGTTATGATTTTCTTTTTGTTTTTTTGCATTAGATTGCTAAAGACAAAAACACAATCCAAATAAATTAAATTCCAGAAAGAGAAAAGCCCTTTCTATGAGAGAAAAATCCAAAATCTGTGGGCATGTAAGGAGAAAGAGCAAACCTGCTATAGACAGAGGTAAGGAGAAACTAGCCAAAATTTTAATAAAAGTTTAATAACTATGTGTGGCTAGCCTGATGTATGAGATTCCAAGGAGGTCTGTGAGAGTGCACTTCCACACCCAGTTGCCAATCTTAATTTCACAATGCCTTCACTGAACACATGCAGTAGCTTGCAGAAGAATAGGAGTACAGCAGGAGGGCAGAGAGAGCTTCCTGCACCTGAGGCCCTTAATGACTGCAAAACAGTGCTTCTCTAATGCCTGGGAACAGGAAAAGAAGGTTGAAAGATATTTCCTCTAAAGTGGATCAATTATGCAGAAACCAAAAGCTGGAGGCACAATAGTTGAACTGTGAAATATCAGCCACAAGTCATTCAGAGCCTTACTTGAGTGCAAGATAGTAGCATGCCAAAACCTAAGGGCAAAGCAGCAAAGTATGAATAGATTTTGTGAGTTTTAGGAAGTCAGAAGCAGAGGTAAAGAGACAAAAGACCACCACAGGAACCCCCAAATCTGGGTAATATAGTCACAGGGATGTAAAACATAAAGACATTTCCATAATTGTACAGTGCCCAGATAAACTAGTTCCAATGCTGCCTGTAAAACATTTGAAACATATGGCGAGTTAACAGATCTAACAAAAGCTACAACAAACCTCAGACCCAGCTCAATTATATATCAGACTGCTTTAGCTTCATCACTTGCAGCCAGTCACAAGAACAGACATTTCTTTTTCTTGAATAAATAACGTATATGGTACTTTTACACACAATTTCTGGCATAAAAAATTGTGTGGTATAAAGCAGAGTGATATGACCCATAATCAATTCAATAAATAATTAATAGAAGTAGACCCAAATGTGACCACAATATTAGAATTAGTAAATAAAACATCTGATATAAAATGTTAATTTTTTTTTAGGAAAAACTAATGGAAAACATGGTTCACATGTGGGAACAGATGCCAGATTTCATTTTAGTAGAGTACTGGAGACATAAAAACAAAGAAAAATTCTAGGATTTGGAAACCCAGTAGCATAAATGAAGAATTTATTTGATTTGTTTTACAGCAGCCTAGGAAATGCAAAAGAAAGGATTAAGTGAATTGGAATTACCTAAACTAAAATGAAAAAAGAAAAAAAATTAGGAACTGAGAAAAGCAACCAACCCCCCGTCTGTGGCACTGTATCAAATGGTCAAAGTATGTGTGTTGTATTACTAAGAGTAGAACAGAAATAAAATGGAGCCAAAGAAATAATTTGAAGAGACATTGGCCAAGAAACATCCAAAATGATGGAAGTTATCAACCCACAGATCCAAAACCAAATATGTAGTGAACCTCAAACCGTATAATTACAAAGTCAAGCTTCAAGAAACCTAAGATAAAAAGAAACTCTCAAAAGCAGCCACCACACACATGCATATGCACATAACACAACACACACACACACACACACACTACCTTTAGAAGAAAAAGAAAAACAAGAATATGGCAGACTTCTCAACAGAAACAATGGAAGTTAACCGACAATGGCATGACATCTTTAAAATGCTGAAAGAAAGAATTACACTATCAATTTCGAATTCTGTACCCCATAACAACATTCTTCCAAAATTAAGGTGAAATAGAGCTATTTTAAGACAGATACATCTTGAGAGAATTTGACTTTAGAAGACATTCACTTAAGGAAATGTTGAAAGAAGTTTTTTGGGTATATCCGACAATATCTAGTAAAAAAATACATTACACATCTCAGGCCATATGGTTGTCTGGTGTTCCATATTGAGATGTTCAATTTCTACAAAGTGTCTCTAGCAAACCATGAGCTATTTTCAAAAGAAGAATAGTATACTGATGAAGCAGTCATGACTTTTCTCCAGCCTCTCTGTTGTGATTTTATTTTCTATTAGACCTTACCACAGCTTCATGTCTCATCCAGCTCCTCCATAAAAAAATTTAAGAATTATTGGATCCATTGTAAGAGTTAAATG